GGGGTGTCAGAGGGAAAGAAGTTATTGACCAAGGCACGTGCCGTGTCATCTGTGTTGTTGGTATAGGTACCGTCATCGAGTAAAAGTGTTGAAGGAGGTTGGGATAGGGGTTTAGTTTTAATAATTCTGTTAGTGACTGACCAGACGTCTTCTTTAGTTTGTCTATTGCAAAAGTCTTTGAAATGTTCTGTGGAAGCGTTGCAGAAGGCGTCAGAGTATTCTTTCCTGGCAATGTCACGTTCTCTCAGGATGTCATCGAGAGGTAGTTTGCGGCGAACGCTCCGACAGAGTCGATGGTGGATCTGTATTACTTTATGTTTGAGTTGCTGTAGAGTGTCATTCCAAAAGGGAGGTTTGCTGGGAGCTCCGCGACACCTGGGTAGGACCTTATCGCATGCTCCCTGAATCGCCGCGGTGACTTCCTCGACGAGTGTGTCGAGTTGGCGAGGGTCGAGTTGGTCGATGCTGTCGATAGGCGGTAGTTGGTCCTTGATCAGGTGTGTGAATTCATCCATGATGTCCTCCCATCGGATGTGTGATGTGTTGTATCTGAATGTGGAGAGTTTTTTGGTTTGTGTGAGTTTAATGTTGTTGAGTGTAATATTGAATGTGATGGCGTTGTGATCTGAGCTGGGTACAATATTGGGTTGTACAAGCCAGTCGTGAGTGTGAATATGAGGGTTATTGCTGATGAGCGTAAGGTCTATGATAGATTCTCGAGGTTTGTTGAGTGTGATGGTGTGGAATGTAGGTGTGTTGCGCACATTTGGTCCATTGGTGCACAGCCGGGGATCGGACCTACGACCCCTGGGATGAGAGTTGCACGCTGAAGCCACTAGGCCAACACTGCTTTAATTAAATAATCTATAAAAATCAAAACTGGTTATTCCATTAGTTAATAATATACATAAAACTTAGCTTTATAGAAGGCGAAGTATAATTCATATTATCAAATTGTAATCCTACGCGGTTTTTGATGTATATATTATATTTTGATTACAATAGTAACAGTAGGTGTACTGAGCTAATAATAATACTGATTCGTAAGACATGCAGACGCGTTATGGTCTAATTTATCGTCTAATGCCACCAACTATGTGGGTGCAATTAGCAGAAATGAAATAATTTATTTGTTGATACATTCCTAAAATATTAGGTGCATTTTACATGTTTAACAGTAATATGTGATGACAAATCTGTTTTCATATCGAAATTAATTAAATTTAACGCATACAGAGTGAACAGAAACTTGTAAAGTTTGGGATAAATTGACAAGAAAGGTTTCCATCCAAATTGGATGATTAAGCTATTGAAAGTATTTTTTTTTATTTACATTGGTTAAATATATTTTAAAAAGTACTTTTATAAAATAATATAAGAGTTTCCTCTAACTTTGATTTTGTTCCATTTCCTTTCAACTCTTGGACTTGGGGGTTCAAGGGCTAATTAAAGATTTATTGATCCGTGGTAGTACCGGTGACCTTAGAGCTGGTGCTCATAAAGTACAACAGCGAGGAAATGCCAGCATTAAAGGTACACTACCACAGGAACCACTTTTTAAATTTGTTTTAGTTTTCTTTTTATCACGTTTTAATTATTATTATTACTTTATTTTATCCTTATAAAATAAAGTAGGTTTAGGTTACGTCAGTAATGTGTCATACACGAAATACCCCCAAAAGGTAAAGTAGGTATGAATTGTGGTTTTGTAAGTATGGGTTTTTATTGATGGTTTGGAGTTTATTTTTGTAACGAATAATAATATGTTTAATTTTTAATGTATATAGTATGTAAATACTGTCGACTCTCGATAACTTGGCACTTGGTAATTTAAATATCTCGATGATTTAAAATTTTCCGGTCCCTAGAAAAATATTCAATAAATTGAATAAAATTAATGTTATTTGGTCACATCGGTAATTTGAAGTCCATCTTTATAATTTAAAGGGTTTATCATGTACAGAGCTGTAATTGTTTTTTTAAATTCTTTGAACAATAACAGATTGAAGTCGCTCATTCTAGAAAAGTATACGAAATTCGAAATTAAAAAATTGTGTTGTTGAATTTAATAATTGTTAATACATAAGAATATCATAGAAATTATTGTTCACGAATTTTGGTTATCCAAACGCTTGTTGTTTCGAACAAATTATTTGAAATTTGTCTATGGTTCAAATTATCGAGAGTTTGTTTAATTTAGTTGGCTGTATGTAAATAGTAGTTTTCTTAATCTACATGAATAATGTTAAGCACAATAGTTTCACGCCATTAGGTGGATAACAAACTTGAAAATTTTTAGATCACTTTCATTACAACTCCTTTCGCTTACCAAAAACCCATAAGTTTTTCGTCTAAGCGTCACGGACTAGGTTATTGTAAGAAATATAACTTACGGTATAATGCTATTTTTATACAAAGTCCTGACTGCTGTGTTTCTTCAGAAACATTTTATAACAGCATTAATGTCGTCAAATACTAAGTGGACTCAGGGCTGACAAAAATAAATGAATATTAATTTAGTTTCACACTTTTTATCATATATGAATGTTGCTTAGATGGATTTAAATTTCCCAGGCATCCCATCATCGCATGTTTCCTTTCAGCAATCAAAGTCCAAAAAGTCTAATCATTTATTTCAATAAGCCTATTAAAAAGGCACCTTTGATAGTCAAAATTACAAGTTAAAGATATTAAAAACATGACTCCTTCCAAAAGAAAGTTTCATATGGAGTAGAATGGGCAAGAAACTCTATACATACTCTTTTAAAATAGTTTTTACAATATTTTGTATACATTGATCTGATAATCGAACTAGGTTTAGATATCCATAGTAGCTACCCTCACACTTTGAAATAAATTTTCCTTTACTTCTCTTCGTGTTTGTTTGCCTATAATTGCTTGTCACATTAAATATTGTATTTAATTTTTCCGTTACCAATGTATCAGTGATACAAACGTTGGCAAGCTTTTATAAATAAATAAACATTAAATTCATAAATAAGACCGGTAGCCCTGAAATTCTACGCCTGGTTCATTGATTTCTTGGTTAAGATTCTTACTTAAATTCTGCCATAAAATTGTCAATTATATTAATTGTCTAAGATATCATGAGGATATTTCCGGAGTAGTAGTCGCCCGTGTCAGGCGGGACACCCCAAGCCTTTTAAGTAAATAAAATCCTTTTTTTGGAAATGGGAGATTTTGACACTCTCCGCTAAATCGCGTGCCTGATGGGCTACAATATAGGGGTATTAATAATAATAAAAATAATAAAAAAACATTCATACTTAGCGTTGATTTTTGGGTTTGTAATCTACCGATTATTCGTACGTCATTCCGTACGAGCACGTTAATAGCGTACAAAGACAACTCGCACATTTATCTACTATTTTGTGCCATCCCTAACTGTCAAAGTACTGCGTATGCGCATAGTTGGCGCAACGCCATTCGCCACGCCATCCAGATGTTAGCAAAACATGGCTCTTTGTAGTTAACACAAGACGTAATCGAAATACCCAATTAACGTAATTAAAAGCGGATCATTAATTTTTATTGACATTTTTTTATCTATTGTTTAATGAATTTCATTTTTTTTTTACAATTGTAGAATATTAGTATAGATACTGGCAAGCTTCTTGAGCATTAAACAAGGGAGTGGAGGAAAGTTTGCGCATCGTACGGGACGCGCGGGACACAAACGTCAACTGATTTACCAATCACGCGATCGACACGTCAATCTCATAAATGCATTTTTTTTTATATAAGTCTTTATCTTGCAATCAGTCAGCTAGACTATGAGCAGATATGTTGAGAGCTGTTAGGCGTTCAAAGCAAAATCTCCATCGAGACTGCATTAGGCGTGAATACCTTTGCTAAGTGGACAGCGAAGGCGTCAGCTTTTTCTTGTTTTGTCTTTGCCCAGGTGTTATTCTGCAACCGTAATGGCGGTTTGGGATCTATCGGTCTATTATAGTTCTTACAAGCTCGCCATAGAGAGTAGTTTGTAGCATTTGTTGCAGTTAAGGAATCTAGATAACATTCCATAGTTTTGTCCCTTGCATTTTTTATGGCAAGTTTAAGATCCTTGACTGCTTTGTTAAGAGCTCTTTTATCTACTGAAAGCCTGCTAGTGTGCCGTACTCTTCGCAGTCTTCTTTTGTTCAGAATCAGTTATTTTATTTCAAACGATATCTTATTTTGCCGTGGCCTGTGATTCAAGTGCTCTGGAGAGGTTTTCCAGCAGGCAGCTTGAACTGTTGTGGTGAAATGCTTTGTAGCTTCTTCGATATCCTCTTCTGTTTTAAGTGCTATTTTTAGGCTTAGATCTGTGTCAACTATTTCCCGGAAGCTATCGAGTCTGTGTATTTGTTGTACAATGTTTGCCGAGCTTCTTTCTTAAGAATAGTGGTGCTCACTGTCAGTACTACAGTATTGAGCTATCGAGGCATGACTCAACATTGAAGAAAAGTCGAGACAGCCCTGTTGTGATGAAGAAGTCTAGAACGTCTGGCAGTCTGTTATGTTCTGTGGGCCAGTGTGTTGGTTCCGGAGTTGAGACAGTAGTTAGGAACTGTTTATCTACACTTTTCTTCAGCTCCTTTCGACGTGTAGTTATTAATCTAGAGCCCCAGTGCGAATGCTTCGCATTCCAATCACCCTCAGCAATAAATCTGTATCCCAAGCTTACAAAGTAGTCGGAAAATTGTGCTTCACTTATTTTATGTTTTGGGGGACAATAAATTGATGATATATTAAAGTCTCAATTTCTGTCACTGACTGCTACTGTGGTAGCCTGGATATGTTCGGTACAGTAGTTTAGTAACACATGGTGTCTAACAGTGGCTTTAATTATTACTGCTGTCCCGCCGTGATCTGTACCGTCTGGATGATTTGTGGAATAGATCTTATATCCTTTAATTCTTATCGAGCTGCTGGTTGTCATATGTGTCTCTGAAATTAGGAGAATGTCTAGACTATGTAGACTGATCAATATTTCTACTTCATCGATGTTGGGTACCAAGCCATTGATGTTCCTGCAGCGGTTCATTTTCCTCTTTATTCTGATACGCAGAGGTTTTATTATCAGTTTCTTCCTTATCTTTTTGAGGTTTATACTCAAATTGCTTATGTTTACGTGGTAAGTGTTGCGTGGTTTTCCTTGATAGTATTTCCTTGTAAACCTCACAGCCTTTATAATTTGCTGGGTGGGGTCCTAAACACAACGCACATAAAGCAGGTGTATTGCGATCCACTTTTGTGCATTCCGAAGTTTTTCCTCCTAAATACATAAATTAAAAAATATGTTGCTGTAATATTTGGACGAAAGAAATGTTTTGTCAAAATATTGTCAATATACGTAAATAGTTGTATTTTTGTATACAATATTGTGTTAAAAAAACCATAAAAATTGTTTCCATCGAATAAATTTTTCCTTTTACCTTAAAGAGAAAATTCCTTTGTGAACAATGACCGAATGGAGAGCATGCGTACTAGATCTTAAATGGATCTTCCGTTCACTTACCAAACGTTACTTGAATAATAATTACAAGAAACAGGTGTTATTTAAATAAACAATGTTAGTGGACAATTCCAGCAAATTACTTTAACATATAACTAAAATATTATTTTATTTAACTGTGAAACGACTTTTCAATGACAATGCGAAGAAGACGGACGGAACTTGAAACCTAACATAATGTAAAAATGCTTTGTCATTTGTATTTTTTATTTTTGCTCTTAAAGCTATGAAGCTTAAAAACTTTTGTTTCTACAAAGAATAATAATTAATCAATGAGTGAGATATATATGTACAAAATATCATTTCCATTGTAAATTACCAAGAACCCCTATCCTATGGACGGTACCTCGAAAATTTACATCATAATTTAATAAGATTTTTTTCGTTAAATGCTTGAATATTAATTTTAAGATCGGACAGTGGATGTTTTGACGTCTGTATAAAATGACAATAGACACGTGTAAATATATTGGCAAGCTGACAATTCATTAACTAGTATATAATAACAAAGCTCACAAGTTACAACAACAATCAGTACACTTGTATGTATTTCGTAAAGAAAATATAAGTTACGATACAATCAATGAAAAGCTATAAACCACCACCAGCTTCTGTTACAGTATCTATTAAATCAGTATTAACTATTTAGAAATTGAGATTTTAAATACATTCATACATTAATTAAATAATAATAATTACTGTTAATAAAGCCTTATTTTATTTCCAAAACTTTAATTTCCATTTCAAATGTTAGTTATAGCTAAATGTTAGTCGCCTGTGGATATCCCTCTTGGTTAAAGGCCTCCAACCCTTTTCAAATGACTCTTCTAAATCTCTTCTCAGGTGAATCATTGCCCAGTCTTTTCCAGCTATTTCAATTAAGTCATCAGCCCACTTTCATCTTGGCCTGCCCACTCTTCTTTTCGCGGGTGGAGCTCTGGAGGATAACTTGATACTTTTAACTAAATCAGCAAACTTAGATATTCATATTCACTAGGGAACTCGTCTTACCAGAAAACATGACAAATCCAAGATATGTAAACATATATATAGACTAGGTATAATTTTTTAAGTATGTCTAACATAACAAAAAGAACATGACAATAACGAAAATGCAAGCATTTACATACACAAGGGACAATTACAGCAACGATTATAAAACGCGATTGAAAGCTGCAGGGGAGCACGATTAAGGGATAGGTATATTTTCATTGCAGACATTACATTATCAAAATCGATGCCTATAAAAGCAACCCGAAGCTATGCTAAATAACTAAACCACTATTCTTAGTTTGTGTTTGGAAAATTCCCCAAAATTACGTACGTTTGTTTACTCAGATGGAGTCCGTCGGAATTTTACGTCATAAAAACATGCACGTCAAACTTCCATTCAAGACGGGATTACTATAATACTATCTGAAGAACGCACGAATATTTTGGCTTCTAATGGTAGGCGTGGGTTGCTAGTTTACTTGTACGGATTACGTCTATATATGAGGTCACAAATGCGAAACAATTTAAAATACCACCCTAACACGTCGCGTCGCGGTTGGAAATGTTCCACAGTTCACTAAACAATGGACAGCGCATTGTGAAATCGGTTTCCAAAAAAGCGGCAGCTTTAGTTAGTAGCCCAAATTTATTTATTTATTCCAGGCCCCCTAGTAAGGGAAAAAACTAAAAAAAAGTGTGTATGTGTCAGCTACGACGCACGATTGGAGTTTACTCCTTACGAACGATAAAATGGCGATAATGTTCTGTTGCATTGCAATGTATTGAGCAGGATAGGACGTGGTTAAGAAATGTTTATGTAGAAGAATTTTAAAAGATGTTAAGGAGGTAGCCAATGGTATGGAGTCGGGCAGCCAATTCCACAACTGAATTAATTTATTTATTTCGTAGTCCTACAGCTAACATGAATTATATACATATATCAAAATCAATTATAGTAAAGCCAAAGATGGAATACATATTTACAAAAAGGTTCAAACATTTTGTATATTTTTTTATTTAGACGCAAAGATGATTAGCCGCATACCCTAACCGTTTATTAATATCACTATTTGCATACAACGGACAACTAATCCGAAACTGTCTTAAACTAGAATTTCATGTTCTTGTCTATGACTAATCCTCTATGACACTTTCTCCATTCACTGACTTCAAACAGATAATCTATTCTCGAGCAACATTTGGCGCCAAAAACTCATCCATAGACATCACGTTTCAGCTTTCATCGGTCAACTATAGTCTATAGTTAAAAGATGCAGTGTAAATATACATTGGCAGAAATACAATTGGATCAATCGATCAAGGAAAATTCTTGATATTTACGATGAATGAAAATTGAAATACAATAAAGTATTTTTTTGTATATTATTTATTTAGTATGAAACGAGACATCTACGTGGTTTTATCGCAAGATCTAACATATTTTTTTATGATTTACTTTATTTATTTTTTCACATTTCAAAGAGGTTTTTGTTTATTTCAGGATTACGGGTGGCGAGCTGTTTGAGCGTGTGATTGATGAAGACTTTGTACTCACCGAGCGTGCCTGCACTGTATTCATGCGTCAAATATGTGAAGGGATCGAATTTGTTCACCGGCAAAATATACTGCATCTTGACATGAAGGTAATAATTATTAAACATTCTGATAAAACTTTAATACTACGAAGTAATATGTTCAAAATATATCAACAGATGGCGCTGATTGTTATTGAAACGCGCTAGCATTTGCTTTGCTTTTAATACTATATACTGACTTCCACTGTCGCTCATCGATCGCTCTTGAAGCCTAAAAAATTGTATGAGTAAATGCCTATGTTAATTTTTGGAACCCTGTAACTGTATTATGTATTATACAGGGTATAGACGTCTTAATACTTATTAGTTATTAGGGATGTGACATGACTCATGTGGCATGCTGCATATAAAGTCGATTGTTATTTTAGGCATGAAAAATCGATAATTTCCTATTTTTGGAATTAATTTCAAAATAAACACCTTAAATATTTTATTTAACATGGTTTTATTAATTAAAAATAAACTATAGAAATTATAAACACAAATTAAAGTTTTAGAAAAATTGAAATTATTATTTTGATAGATATTAGGTGAAATTTGATAGATGCCTTTACATTAGCACATTGCAGTATTTTTTTACCTTTTTTATTGTATGTAACCTTGTGCTGCTGAATAAATTGGTTTGGTTTTCCAACCCTTAAATTTCGTTAATTTGAAACGCTGTTACAGTGTTCCAAAGTTGACCGGATTCGTCAATGCTCATCACAAACTTGGGTTTAAGCTTGTATTGATGCCCCTACATGTCCCATAAATAAAATGGCGTCCTCTAACAAATGTTCAGTGTGGCCCTCGACTTGTAACATTTCAATTGACTATCTTAAGTCTTAACGATTTAAAATTTCAAAGTAAAATCACCGTATATGAATTACTTTACTTGTTCTAAATTTAAATTAAATTAAATTAATTAGTTACATCACTTTTCCAGTTTCCCCTTACCACTACTTTTCAGCAATAACGAAACATTCAGACAGTGACAGAGTTAAATATATAATGTAATAAATTCGTATGTATATTCATACGAGGCATGCCTTTTAAGTTTTGTCGTTTGCAGAAAAAACACAACTAGAAACTTATAGTACTTTTTATTGTTTTTCAAAGTATTCACCACGTAGCTTAATACACTTTTCCACTCGCTCAAACCAGTTATTATAACATTTATTCCACTCTAAAGTGGAGGTGTTCAAAAGGGCTGACTTGAAAGCGTCGACTGCTTCTTCACCGGACTGGAACCTTTGACCACGAAGACTTTTCTTAATTTTTGGAAATGTAAGGAAATCGTTAGGGCTTAGGTCAGGACTGTATGGAGGATGGTCAAGAATTTCTACTTTTTCCTGCTTCAAATACTGAATTGTTTGACAAGCGCTGTGTGAGCTTGCGTTGTCGTGGTGCAGGATGATGCGTCGCTTTAAGTTAGATTTTTGAAGTTTGGCGATGACTTGTGGTAAATAAACTGTGGTATACCACTCTGCGTTAACCATTCTACGATCTTCAAGTGCAATAGTCGCAAGAAGGCCGGTTTTTCCAACGAACGTGGCCACCATCTTCTTTGAAGTGCTTCGAGAACGAACGAGTTTAGTCGGCTTTGGCTCGTCTTGAAAGACCCAGATTGTAGATTGTTGTATGGGATCTGGATCGTAGGCATAGATCCAAGATTCGTCACCACTGATGATGTCGTAGACGTGATTTGACTCTTTTCGGTTGAACCTTTGCAGAGCTTTCTTACACTAAATGACGCGGGCCGCCTTGTGATCGTCGGAAAGCAGATGCGGTATCCAACGGCAAACTAGCTTTCTCACACCAAGCGCTTCATGCAAGATCTTCTGAATGGTTGTCCCTGAGATGCCTAATAGAGAGTATCTCTCGATACGTCACATGACGACCTTCGAGAATTAATTGTCTCACAGCAATGATGTTTTCTTCAGTGAAGGCGGATTTTGGGCTTCCTTAACACTAGTATGTCACTAACACATTAACACACACAACACACAGGTATTTAGAATTCCAGTGTGGACATTAGTATGTCCAAAAAAGTGGAATTCTAAATACCATATATAAATAATATTGCAGGAACATTTTCCTTAGAAAGATTCATTTTCGTACGTAACTTGACAGATTCAAATCGACGCTGTGACTAAACAATAGCATTAATCCTAATACTTTTAACTGTTTTGAGATTCAAAATTTAAACACATTCGAATATAGTACAGGTCCAAATTCAAATTTGCCGGAAAATATGGAAACGACAGAACTTAAAAGGCATGCCTCGTATGTATTCATTAAAATATTATTATAATTACACTGATGCCAACACTTATAAGCCCTAAGGTATTAGAGAGATTCTATCACCTACATACAAAAAAAAACACGACAATTGTTCATAACAGATAAAAGTCAAGAATGTTCTGTCACGTTTCTTTAGTTGCCATTCGAATTTCGACACATGAGTGATTAGGACAAAACATTTGATAGATTTTAGTTAGTTTGAATTTGATCTAAGCTTTAATTCTGGAAACTAGAATCCACAAATTACGGCACCTAACACTGTCTATGAAATTTCAAAAATTTATTAACCTGGTTGTCATCAGTGCGTAATTTTGGTTCCGATCCAAGTCGTTAATCAGAATGGCGGAAAAGTATGTAGGAGTTTTATGATTGTCTGTGGCGTCGCCGTTATTGTTTATTCTATAAGCCAGCTTTTATTTCTGGCTAACATTAATTGTCAAACACAAAACTATAAATAAATAGTGGTGTGTGAGTCAAGAAATCATTTTTGATCCTCGTTTGACATTTTATGGGTAGTATGTTGATAAAAAATGGCTACGCATGCGACAACCTTTGGGTCATGAGTTCGAATCACGGCTGTGTACCAATGTACTACTTTCTTTCTATGTCAAAGTCAAAGTCAAAAATCATTTATTCATATTGGTAACCCGTAACACAATGTACTCTTATGAATTAGAAATATACATTAAATGCCTCTAATTTAATATTTACTGCTAGTTCTCAAATCTAGGGCGTAGAACGGAACAGAAGAACTGGCATTAAACTATATGTGTGCGCAACACTCGCTCATATCGTGAAGGAAAATGGACGGAATGTGACCTACCTGCTCATATTAAATAAATATCACAAAACGTAGCCCGCTATCTTTCGTTAATAACTATGTTACTTTTTATATCAGAGCTTATTTTTTACCTTAAAGTTAAGTGTGCCCATCTTTGAAACTTTGATATATTAATAAATAAATTTCTCTTTTCAGCCAGAAAACATCTTGTGCCTCACTAAATCTGGAAATCGTATAAAAATTATCGACTTTGGTCTTGCCCGTTTCTACGATCCAGAGAAGAAGTTACAAGTTCTATTCGGAACTCCCGAGTTTGTCGCCCCGGAAGTCGTTAATTTCGACCAAATCGGCTATGGTACTGACATGTGGTCAGTTGGCGTTATCTGTTACGTTTTGTAAGTATTACTGTATATAAAGTTAATAGTTCTATAGTAATAATAATATTAAAAGTCCTACTCGCGTGTACCATATGCCGATAACGAAAGAAGAAAAGAGAAATTTGTCGTGGTGGGTGACGTAGAAGGCACAAGATCACGTGGCCGTTCACCAACCAGATGGCCTGATCAAGTGAAAGACTCATCGTCCTCAAAACTGTACACTGTCATAAGAGAGAATCTGGACAGAAACCGGTGGAAACAGATAGTCTGCTCCAGATGTTGCTGACCACGACGCTCAGACTTGAGTTACGTACTGAAGAAAGATATAATATTTATGTTGTATAAGTTCCCATAACTGATGAGCATGCATTGTGAATGGACCGTGGAGATCCGTGGTCTCTGCCTACCCCTTCGGAAAAAAAGAATATATCAAAAAATAAAATAGATATTTCAAGATTCAATAAACCGCTGTTTATAAATATTGAAATATCTACCATGATAGTCTAACTATATAAAACAAAGTCGTGTCAGTTACACCACTTATAACTCAAGATCGGCTGGACCGTTGTTAGGATCTCTTTTTTGGTGGATTCCTCTCCGCTCTGAATAGCAGAATAAGTAATAAAATATCGGATAAGTTATCGAATAAATATTAATTAATTAATCAACTTAACGAATGCAAACAGCATGTGGTGCCATCTGTTGACAAAATTACGCATATAAAAGAAACCTACCACTTTGTTCTTGCACCGGATAACAAAACAAAAAAAATGTTGTCAGAAAGTGCTTTAACATGCAGTATCGCAATATTGGCGCTAGAGAGAAGAGGCCTAATGTGTAAAACTGCCATTCTTTTTTCGCAATGGCAACATTTCTGTATTTGCAAAAAAAAAAAATGTGTCCTTAATCAAATCCTAAATTAAGTTTAACTAAAGTTAACACCATATTATTACACTGTTAGGCGTACCGAAGTTAGCCGGGTCAGCTAGTTTATAAAATAATAATAACTTCTTCATTTCAGAATATATACATATATATCTAGTTTTAGTTAGTGCTAGTAACAATTCGGTCTTAGTTGCTTTGTTAGTTTTGGTTAGTAAACAAAACAAAAATTAAACATAAAAACTTCTATAATAAAAGTAACAAACATTGATTCATAAATTTTCGCGTACCTATTTACCATAATGAACATCAAATTGAAATATAACAATTTACATAATTGAATTTGTTCCAGACTGTCCGGCTTGTCGCCTTTCATGGGAGAAACGGACATAGAAACAATGGCTAACGTGACGATTGCCAAATACGACTTCGACGATGAAGCCTTCAATGAAATCTCGGAAGACGCAAAAGATTTCATCCAGAAACTTCTCGTGAAAGACAAAGAGTAAGTGATGTTCATTAATTTTTCGGCTAAACATTTAAAAGTCACATAAATCATGACGAATGTGAGCCTCGTGCCCGAGTACTGTCGATAAAGACCCTTTGTTACTTGGTTCTTAGCCAACACTTAGTGATGCTAGTATCTAACACGGCATATTCTACTACTTTCATGCATGACTCTCCTATTTAGTAGTTTAGTACCTAGAGTAGTTTAGACTGTAGATTTCTAGACCCATTGTACTGTTCCCGTTCCCTTTCAACACGTAATTCGCTTCCTGTAATGCATTTTGAGGTGTTGGGTGATAGTAACAAGGGTCTTTGTCGCAGGTCACGGCCGACTGCCACGGAGTGCTTACGACATCGGTGGATTGTCAAAAGAGCACCTGCGAAACAAGACAAACCGACGCCGCAGCCGCGACTATCACCAAAACAGGAACTAGACATGGCTAAAGACAACCTTCGACTGTTTGTCGAAAGGTGGAGCGAGCATCCCAACTCCCCGTACGTCTTCGACAATGAATCACAAGAAATTCTCTGTATGGTCAACGGAGAGAGGTCTTCCATCGGAGGCTGCTCACCGTCACCCAGGAGCTCTCTGAGCAGTTCCCCAGATATGGTCTTTGACGAAGATGATTTGGAACCTCCACCCTTAAGAGACCCCGTCAACTTAAAAACTCGATACAACCCAGTCGAAAGAAGGGCGTCGGACAGCAGTTGCTTCTTACATAAAAGGCCAGATGTATTGGTACGAAAAAATTTGGCTGAAGAAATTAAAAAATTGTCCGATCACCTCTATATGCTATCGACTATGAACACAGACTTGACAAACAACAATAATTCTGCAAAGGAAATGGACAAGAATGTTCTGGAACGGAAAATCTCGAACGACGATAATAAACTTAAAAATGGTTTCAAAAGTGATTCGAGATCGACATTTATGAAAACAATGATCAATGGTGACACTCACGAGAAAAGAATATTCACATCTAAGTCGAGTAATAGGGTAACTTCAACATTTTTAACAGAGCGGGAACCAGAAAAGCCCATGACCAGTAAAATGCCTTGGGCTAAAACTAGAGCGAAAAGAGTAACCAGTACTAGTAGAGATGTCCCGGACCAACCGACGGACAAACGTAACACGTTCTTCGAAGAATTTGATAGAAGACGAGGGAAGATAGATAAACTGGTGAGCGGTTACGAAAATGGAAAACAAGTGCCATACAAACGTGGAGATGAAAATAACGCGCATCGAACGAAGGATTTGCTTCTACATCTCCTGGAAAAGTGGGGAGAGACAGAGGAAGTGGAGGCCGAAAGATCAGCGGGAGGGCCGTCGAATGGCCGACATCAGTCCATATCCTTAGAATGGTCATCCTCTAACCAGCTCGCGCAGAACTCCATGTCGAGCCTTCATGCATTCTTCCAACGACAAACATCTGACGAAAAAATCCAACGGAAAAAAGTGACAGCTTCAAGTTCCAAGTGATCTAAACGACTGTGCCATGACATTATTCAGAACGGTGACAGACAGTGTCTAATTGATCTCACTTCGTAATGAATTTTAAAATCATGAAATACCTTCTGAATTATTTCTAGGTTACCAAAGTAGGAAAATGACATTATATCTAAGGTTTACAAATGACATTAGACAATTTTCATACGAATCTAGTCTCCATACTCAAAGCTCTGTAACGATCACAGAACAAGACTGAGATACAATTTTGGATTTTTTTTACAATACATTCACAGTACTATAATCTGTAAATAATTTTGCGCTATTTAAGTCTCCACTCGTATTCATGTATTTTATTTTGTTCCTTAACTGTACTTAAGTATTTGTGCTATAATTATTATAAGTAATTTATTGTTAAATATCTATGTTGTTTTAATATAAGGCTTAATAAAGTAAAGTGTTTTATTTTTATCTTACTTTAAATGCTAAATAAACCTGACTTCGTGAAATTTAAAAACATAAACGTTTATATGTATCACATTTTATAATTTTGGCATATTACAAAAAATTACAGTGAAGACGCTGTAAAACACACGAAATTGAAACTTATTTAACAAGTTTTCATTTTGGTGATAGAAATTTTATATTGTAAATGATCTTTAATTACCCAATTACATCGTAATATGTTATGTCCAGAGACCGGCTGACAGCAACGGCTACATTAACCCACCCATGGCTCATCCAGTCGTCACAGTGCACAGAGCTGCACGTCGCCAAGACTAAACTAAAACGATACGTCATTAAAAAGCGTTGGGCGAAGGCAGTCGGAGCTGTCATAGCTCTAAAAAGAATGGGCGCCAAGTTTGAGGACCACGAAGAAAAAGTCGACAAATCCTGATTATTCAAATTTACAATGTAAAGAGATATTTACTATCATAAATAATATTATATACTTACACATTCATATTATATTGTTAAGAATTGGACCAAAATTAGATTCGAAATTTAGTATTATTACCGAAATTTGTAGAGGCTATAGTCATATTTTTATAACGTCCTGGTTAAAAGTAAGCAATATAACCCATAATATTTGTATTAATAAGTTTAAAATGCCCGACATGCAGCTTAATCATAACTTTCACTCCAAATAATTTATTAATTTACCTACTAAAAAAAGCGTTTAGTAAATAACCTCATTTTTAAGTTTTTTATGTTTAATAATTTTTCAAGGATATTTGTTGACACCGAAATGTGCCAATTAATCTCTATAGATCTGTAAGAATCTTATTTATCGATAACTAAGTTAATATTTAAAAGACATTAATATTTACTAATTTAATTTCTAACGGCCGCTAGAATAGACTTAAGAACATCTCATTTCGTTTGTAATTAGTTTAATTATTTAATTCTGCAGACTTTGGTAATTCTGATGTACGGCTCACTTAATTATGTTTAACCTAAGAGGTTACCTTAGTGAGCTATTACGATTAATAATACACATCGATAAGTTTAATCTAACTCGTGTACATTAGAATTAACAGTTTTTTATTGTTTGCAGGGTTAATAATTAAGTTTGGAAAATAATTTTTAATTGCCTTATTTACAATAATGCATTTCAATTTTTAAAAGACTTTGATATTATATTGTTAATAACGAAACCAATATACTGGGATACAATGTTATTATTGTTTCTTTTTGGAACTTGGAAATAAAGATTGTTTTTAATTTATTTTTAGTTTTATTTGGTCTTAAAACGAATAGTTTGAAGTAAAACTTCTTTAGGCGCGACTAGGGAGTAACGTAGATTTCTGACGGAAATAACGCTTACTTTAGGCCGTTTCGTTTCGCCGGTCCGGCAAACGTTAATTACCGATCTGATTTAGAAACTCACAACAGTACTTACGTACTTCTCCACTACTCCGGCATCCGGTTTTTAACGATCCGATAACTTGCTAGATCGGAACGCGGTGTTTTATCGGTCAAAGTATCCAAGAGGTTATAAATTATTATTCACATGTTTATTTATAGTTTGTTTAATTTGAAAAAATCTGGATAACCTGGACCAAACCAAATTATTTTGCTATTTATTTATATTTTTATTCCATAGTATTAGTGAACTATTTTTTTTTTTTTTTTTGGAGTTTATGGCCTGGTATCTAGACCTTTAGGCCAAAGTGAACTATTTATTAACTAATATTAAGTAGATTATAATATTTTAAGATAGACAATATAAAAAAGTAATAAAGTTGCCATGGCAATAAAATATTCAGAATTTTCAATTTAGAACGTTTTATTAATAAAATAAAGTATATGGGTTTTAGTTAATAATTAATACCTATATATATAATAATTAATATCAAATAATGCACCACTAGATGCCGCTGACGGACCTATAAAACGCGCTATCGTTGTAATTTTAAATAGCGGAAACTATACAGACTATAGGCCCTTTCAGACAAAACTGTGTTGCCTAGTTACACTAACAACACAGTGATTGATAATATATCTTTATGTTGTACGAAGGAGGGTCCACCTATAATACCAACATACTTGGAGGCCAATACCAGTCAGATAGAGTATACTCTTCCTGCTGGAACACATACCTTAGGTTATTCTACAACTGTAGAGGTCACTCCGGATAGTACTTTAAACTAGGCTGTAAGACAACAGAAGTTAACCGTTTAAATAATCAATTATTATTTGTGGATAATAAAAAGGTATCTTCTGGCAATTTAACATGTTTTAATAAACCAAAAGGAAAGCAACATACTTTAAGATTATTTCATCAGAATATTCAAGGTTGCTCTTCCAAATTACTGGAAATAGAAATGTTTTTAGAAAAAACCAAGTTCGATATTATTTGTTTAACTGAACATTGGTTAAATGATCATCAGATAATGTCTATTAATTATGAAAATTATTGTGTAGTTAGCTATTTCAGCCGGAAGTGTATGATACACGGTGGATCATTAATATTAGTCAAAAATTCTGTTAAATCTAAAGAAAGGAAAGACATTATCAGATTGTCAGTTGAACATTCTATAGAGTTGTCCTGTGTCGAGCTCGATAAGCATGTTGTAGTATGTGTTTACAGACCTCCGGGCTATCAGAATCTATCTGTATTTGATTCTGTAATGGAAGATGTGTTAAAAAAACTTAGTACTAGTAGTAAATCAATCATCATAAGTGGTGATTTTAATATTAACTTATTAGAAACAAACTCAAATAGTATCAGATTAATAAGTCTTTTTAAATCATTTAATCTGTCTAATGTTTTTATGGAACCAACTAGAGTGACAGCTTCTTCTGCCACTTGTATAGATAATATTTTTTGTAATTGTGATTACTTACATAAAGAAATTGTTAATAAATTGCCTTCTGATCACAGTGGACAAACAATAACGTTTTGTGCCTACATACCTGTACAAAAAATTCAAATAAGGTATAGGCCAATTACATGTAAAAATTTAGAGAAATTAAATAATACCTTGACCAGTAAATTGTGTGTTCAAAACTTTAATAATATTTGGGACCCTAATGAGTTCTATGCGGAGTTTTTTACTTTGTTAAAATCGCAATTTAATGACATTGTTCCACAAAAGACAAAAAGTATTTACACCAAGTTCTTATTTAGTGATTGGGCGACTCCAGGTATTCGTAAGAGCAGGGATAAACTTTTTGAACTGTATGGCCTAAGGCAACATGTAAAAAATACAAACTTTCATCAGCATGTTGCGAAATATTCAAAAACTTTTAAAAGTGTGTGCAAAATTGCTAAAGCACTGTATATTAGTAATAAAATAAAATCAGCGGATGACAAAATAAAAACTACCTGGCAAATAATAAATAATGAAACTGGTAGAAAAAAACAGCGTAATACTGAATTTAACTTAGAGACTGCACATGGCCCAATAAACTCAAATGCAGAAATAGCTCAGGAATTTGAAAACTTTTTTATCAATATTCCCTTTAAAACTACCGAAGCTTTAAGTTCATCATCCGCACTTTCTTTTGCGTTACTTACGAAGAATGTAAGGGCATGCCCTACGGAGTTTCGATTTCAATATACAAACCCCCAGGCTGTTATGAAAGCTTTTAAAGATCTTAAAATTAAATCTACAGAAGTTCTTTGGGGATTGTCTGTAAAAGTCTGTAGTTCTATCATCGAAACTATTGCGCCTTATTTAGCTTTCATATTTAACACCAGCATTGACCAAGGAGTCTTTCCGGATCTCATGAAACACAGTAAAGTAGTTCCGTTGTTCAAATCCGGTGATAGTAAAGAACCCAATAATTATAGACCTGTGTCAATTCTGCCAGCTCTCAGTAAGGTGTTTGAAAAGTTAATGCTCAATCAAATGTTATGTCACTTTAATAAAAACTCCATCTTTCATGAACAACAGTACGGTTTCACCAAAGGGCGTTGTACAACTGACGCCGGTGTCTCCCTAATCAAGAACATTTTTAACGCTTGGGAGGAAGCACAAGATGCCATTGGAATCTTTTGCGACCTTTCGAAGGCGTTCGATTGCGTAAACCATGAGACTCTTCTGCTGAAACTTAATCACTACGGGATTAAGAACAAAGCTCTGGACTTACTAAGATCTTACTTGAAAAACAGACAGGTTAAAGTTCAGGTTAACGGCATAAACTCGTTAGGGTCTGAAATTACAATGGGCGTTCCTCAAGGTTCAATATTGGGTCCATTCCTCTTTTTAGTATACATAAATGATTTACCCCAATTAGTTCAGAATAAACCGAAGATGGTGTTATTTGCAGATGACACATCATTGATTTTTAAAGTAGATCGACGGTCACAAAATCGTGACGACGTGAATAACTCTATTCTTCGGGTCCAAAATTGGTTTACGGTAAACAATTTGGCACTGAATGATAAAAAAACTAAATGTATTAGATTTACGTTGCCAAATGTTAAAAGTAAGGAATGTGACATAATGTTGAATGAAGGAAAACTGGAATTTATTAATCAAACGGTTTTCCTAGGCATCACACTAGACGAGAAGTTACAATGGGGACCTCATATCACATCTCTTGCGGGGCGGCTGAGCTCAGCCGTTTATGCGGTTAGAAAGATAAGATATTTAACCAATGTAGAAACTGCGCGTTTGGTCTATTTTAGCTACTTTCACAGCATAATGTCTTACGGCATTTTACTGTGGGGTCGGGCTGCTGACATAGAATCCATTTTTATTTTGCAAAAGAGAGCGGTCAGAGCCATTTATAATCTACGTCGTTGCGAATCTCTCAGGGAACTATTTAAAAGATTAATATTATGACAGTACCTTGCCAATTCATTTATGAAAATATTATGTATGTAAGAAAGAATCTACATCTTTTTAGTAAAATAAATGAAAGACATAATTTTAGTACTAGAAATAAAGATAAAATAGCTCAACCATCTTTCAGATTAGCCAAAGTTCAAAATTCATTTATGGGGTACTGTGTGAAATGTTACAATAAAATACCTTGTGACATTTTAAAACTAAATGAACGAAAATTTAAATGTTTTATTAAAAGTACACTTTGTAAACAAGCATATTACAAATTAGATGATTATATTCAAGATAAGAATGCTTGGAAACATGCTGGTCCTGCTCCATAGGACAATCCTATGATTGGCTCTATAGCCTGGACAAAATCAAATTGGTTGCTGATTTTTTGCTTTAACATATTTTTGTTATTATTATTATTATTTTTTTTAAATTTATATAATGCTACAAATGTAATTATTTTGTTTTGTATCTCACACACTGTTTTGTTGTGTTTTTTTAATATTTTTATTACTCTTTAATGTTAATATTCTAAGGTTTCGATATTTGTAAATATGTGAGGAACATGTATACTAACTTTTTTAGTATAGTAGTTTATTCTAAGAGTACATTGTCTTCACATATAATTATTTAACAAATGTAACAAAATATTGTAAACCTATTTTAAAAGAGTAAGTGTGGAGTTTCTTGCCCATTCTTCTCCACACGAAACTACCTTTTGGAAGGGGCAACTAGAATCATCTTTATATATTTTTTTTTTTTTTGACGTTCAAAAGTGCCATTTTAGATGGTCTAATTGAAATAAACGATTTGACTTTGACTTTGACTTTGACTTTCTCCACTGCTCCGGTCCGGCGTCGGATACCGGAAATCGGAATGAGTCATGAGAAAAATATCGGAAGGCCGGATTGCGCTTCTCCACTATATCCGATCCGACAATAATCGATACTTGTATATTTATCATGCAACGTTAAATACACGATAAATATACAAGTATCGATTATTGTCGGATCGGATATAGTGGAGAAGCGCAATCCGGCCTTCCGATATTTTTCTCATGACTCATCCCGATTTCCGGTATCCGACGCCGGACCGGAGCAGTGGAGAAAGGGCCTATAGTCTGTGTAGTTTCCGCTATTTAAAATTACAACGATAGCGCGTTTTATAGGTCCGTCAGCGGCATCTAGTGGTGCATTATTTGAACATATTTAAGTCTTTGTAGTGTTTATTTAGGATAGCATTCACTCGTTTTATTGGATACTGATTCTTGTAATTGTGTTATTATTAGTATATTTATATTTAAAATGAAAATCCATACTAGTAACATGTGACCAAATTAAAATTCCACTAAAGAGGGAAGGTTTCCATCCTAGCTTGCTTCTCTTTTGTTATACATATGGCCAGTTTTTTCACTTAATTTCGTATTTTACCATTTTGGAAGAAGTAAATTAATACCAAATTAATTATCCTAAAAATCTGGTCTATTTTATATAAATATAACAAAGTTGTGTAAGAGAATAGCAAAGTGAATAAAAAAATTCAACAGTTTTAAAAAAAATATTTTAATTTGCAAAGTTTTTTGAAAATCTCCAAATATACTTATTGATTTATTACTTTTAAAATAAGTAAATTAATAATAAATTTTCTAACGATTGCGACATTCTATAATATTCAATAACAAGGTTATATTGACATGACATGCTGATCTAACCTTCGTATTTGAATAATCTTTGTATATATGTATCTTTGTAATAATAAATATAATAAAATTATAATATGATATTTATTATTTAAGTTAATATTTAATCATTTCAGTGATATATGCCGTTAACGCCAAAGAAGTTTTACTTCAATCGCGCGTAAAGGTTACACGCACACACCTTTTTGTTTGTATTAATATTCAGATATTTGGAGAAGATAACCAAGACTGTGTGCACTGGATTAGAATTATATAATTGGATTGTTATATTATTACACTACGGAATATAAGTTGTGTAGAATTATACCTGCTACTGAGTTTCATCATCGGACGTCGAGGCAGAATACGCAATTCCACCCGTATCTCCAATCATCCGCCGTTCCACAACTGAGCGTTTTTTAAGGCAGCTTTTGCCAAGAACCACTTGAACCACTGAAGTATTTCCAAACCCATTCGACTAAGGGTTCTGAGTCGAATTGGTCTGCAAGAAATGAGCTTAAAGGACCGGCTACGCACTCGCGAGGCCTCTTGCATTGAAAGCGTCCATAATCACTTATAAATGCCTCCGGGCCGTTTGCCCCCTGTTCTATAAAAAAAACGATGTCAAAGATATTGGTTTCATACTACTTCTTCTAAACCCTGGTATTCCTTTGATAAACTTGCAGATAAATTTAAAGAAAACACTTTTTTAACGGATTGAAGCTATGTATTATTATAAACATAATTATTTTACATAATGTTAAAAAAAAAATTCCCCTAAGTATTTCAAATATTAAATAAAATTCTAACTGTATTGAGAAATCGTTATGAACTCTTTCAGTTCGTGTTTCTCTAGGAAATGATGACCTCGTAAAAAAACCCTGTTCTAGAGTAAGCTGTATATACAATATTCATACGGAATTGCTTGCTAAAATCCCTGTTAACAGATTGTCGGGATTACAATGCGACTTTATCGATAGTCTCCTCTGAAGTTACTTGGAAAAAGGGTTAAATTTTTCCTTACCCACCCACATATTTCGTTTTAAAATTAAAAAAATTATACTAAAATAAGATCGCCACCTTGGCTTATCACGCACTCCCTGGGTTTGAATAGCATATATCAATTGTTTCGTACAATCGTAACAATAAAAATCTTAATTAAGGTATCTACTATTTTCACATTAGCAATTCGTCGTAAACTAAAACTAGCTACACACAATTCACAATGAGACATCATATTATCTGTTACTGTTCAAAACCAAGGTTGCGAGTAATTAATAAAACCACAAAATGTTCCTTATTTTATATTTTTAAAAAGCACGCAATGATATTGCGTTGCATATAATAAACAAAGCAATACCACTCCGCGAACCGGCGATTTGTCTTAACGGTAGGACTTCTGGTATCTGGCACGAGCACCTGGTCCTCCGAATTTCTTGGGCTCGCAGCGTCTGGGGTCAGCCACCAACAAACTCCTGTCGTATTGGACGAGGATGTCTTTGATTTCCTTCTTTGAGGCTTCGTCTACGACTGCAAATTACATTAACCATATGAGAGTGCTATATCATTGAAACTTTAGTTTTTGATTATTTTAATAAAATCTAAATAATATTAAAAAAAAAGATGTTGTGATCATTTCAAACTAGTCAGGTATGGTTGACACAGACTGCTTGGTAATGTCACCGTTTTTCTCCCTTCTCTGAAATGACTGCATCACATAGAGCAAAGCAGCTTTGGAAAGAAGGGATAATTATAAAAATACTATATTCAAATATATTAAATTTCAAACAAATTAAATTGTGTATTTGATAGGTAAGTTAAATGTACTGGTTTCCCAAATTTAGGTATATATTTTCTAAAAACACTTACATTTCTGGTAGAAAGCAATAAGAGCTTTGGAAATGGCCTGTCTAATAGCATAAACTTGTGCGACATGACCTCCACCCTTGACTGTAACTCTGATGTCAACTCCAGAGAACTTTTCCTGAAATTTAAATATATTGTTGAAATATTCATTTGTATTATATTAAATTTTATGAAATGTTAAATATTTCAGTAAAGAATCTCACTTCACATCTGATGATCAGGTTCGGAATAAGTTATAATCATCATGGAGCAATGATTTTTTACAGAAACATTTCCTTTTACCATTCTTATGTTCTAAATTTTTAAGTACAAACAAATGTAATAATTGCAATAAGTTTTACCATGAACAAGAATTAGGAAGATATTTCTGCAACAATATAACAAGTAACTTATCACTAAAAACCAGAATTGTGTGTAGAAGTCAGGTATTAATCATGATTTAGTCTTGTGTTGTTTCTATCCTGTTTGTAAAAGATTAATAATTAACAGCAATAACTTCCACATAATAATTCCAAAATTAAAAGTAGACTGTAAACCAGCACATTATTTTACCAACACAACAAAAATCCAGTTTATTATTTACCTTGCCTAACAACAGAATGGGTTCCTGAAGTTTGTATTGAAGAAGACGAGGTTCTACCAAGTCTAAGGGACGACCATTGACACGGAGAACTCCATGGCCACGCTTGCAGTAAGCAACTGCTGTGGCGGTTTTCTGAAAAAGTGATTGAATATTTATATTAACAAAAAGAAATAAATGTGGTTTTCATTTCAGGTCAGCTAGAAATCGAAGCTTAAATGGATATTTGTATAATGTGAGAAATAATGTTGTTTATTATACGTAATGGTTTAGTTGTTTAAATGTCGTTTCCATCTAGACCATATTAATGATTTTCATTTAGGATGGCTGGGTAGGATAGAAACTATATTCTTCCTTTCTATAAGACGTTAACATCAATTTGGTTATAATGCAACAGTCGGCGTGAAAGGATTGGTAAACATGTTTGGAAAGTGGAAACATAATAATTACATTAATTAATTTTAACTATGAGAGATTATGTACAAAGAACGATGCAAGAAATAATATGTAATTAAAGAAATAGAGAAAAAACACGTGGACTTGGCAAATACTCACCTTGCGGCCGAAAACTTGAACGGCTTGAATTGGTTCACGTCTCACCTGAAATCACAATTAAATAAGTTTATATTCCGTAAATATATTAAAATTTGCTTAATTTATTAGATATTTTATGGCTAAAGTTATAACACGCACCTCCTGCGCGGCAGCCATTTTGACAGAGAAAGACTGAAACTCAAACAGATAAACCTAAATTGGATTTGATTCGACATCATGCACAGATTATAAATAATTTCAAATTTACGAAAAGTAAAATTTGCAAATTTGAACTGAGTCACGGCTTTTTGTATTTGAACTGCTATAGAATTACGAAATTCTAAATAAAAACTAAAAAAAAACTACTTTCAAAAAGGCTTGTACATTGGCGCCAAAACTGATATTTAAGTTAGATCAACTAAGTGGTGTTAATAAATTAATTTAAACAATACATATTTTTAACCTTACATTTATATATAAATATATACCTTTATCATATTTTATATTATTATTTTCTCTAAATTTAAAAAACATTTATATTGATATCGTTAAAGCGGCATCTCTAAGGAAAGAAATGTAGTAACGTAAATGTAACCTTTCATGTTGCAGTAGTTTGTATCTATAAATTTTCACTAGATGTCGCTAGTGAACAGACGAAAGGTGCGTTATGATCAGTATGTTGCTCGTGAACTCTGATGACTGATACGTATTTGTTTTGTATTCAATAAACGTAATCGTTGCTGTGAAGTCGTGCGGTATGTGTACGGTTAGCAAACGCGTATTCTATGCCGATAACGCCGGTACTCGTAAAGTGAAGCAAAACAGTGAGAATAAATTACTTTAAAAAGAAATTACGTGTATGTGTATAAACATGAACTTTTGACACAGGATTTCTTTGGATTTTAATTTTTTTCAATCAAGTAAGTAAATTTTAATTTGTTTTTTCTAACAATACAATTTAAATATTTGTTGTAAGACTTTTAGAAACTTTTAGTCATTTTGTTTATTGGCGTGTAGTTTATATTTATACAATAAAAGGGAAGAAATATAAGCGGGTAGAAAACGAAGGTAAGCCGAGTAAAAATGTTAATTTCTGATAACATTACCAAATAAATTCTTATATACAATAAAACTTCATATAATCCAAATGCAAACAAAATTTATACGGATAAGTATTTTTTTTCTATAAAACTAATATTTTAACTCCCGAGTCCCGACATATTTTTTTCAAAAAGTTAAATGCGCTATTGCCACAGTTTCCTCGTCAAGTTTGTTATTTAAATGTATTGTTAAGTTAAACGATGCGTCACAAAAAAGTGATTCATGTAGGAATGTGGATCGAGCAAGACCCAGTTAAAGTAACAATTACAAGTATATATTGTGGACTGTGGTATTTACTTATTACCTACGTTTGAATGACCACAATATAGGAAAAAAACAAACTTAAATCATGATAGTAATAAGCATTCCATGAAGTCATTTTCAAGTCACAGTGATGACATGAAATTGGATATCTGGCTGTTTTATATTTTATACATGAGCGACTTTTCGCGCCTTCGAGCGGGCATTATTTTTTTATATTTTGGAAATAAAAATGTACTCGCGGTGTTACTTCTTAATTAAGTGCTAATGGTGTTCATAAGTACACCATTTGCACTTGACAACAAGTAACTTAGGTAGTGTACTTAAGTTTATTGTATAAAACATTCAAAAATACGAATCGTTATTTATGATGTACTTACCCATTTTATTTTAAATAGTTTCTATTAATCCATCCTTATTTCAACTTTTTGATTATTCTTTTTTTTAATGTTTGTTTTTTTTAATATATTATATTTTATATTAAAGTTATTTTGACCTATCGTGTGGAGCCAAGAATAATTAACATTTCTTTAAGTATATACATACAGCAAAAGCCGAATACTTATTTAGACTTATTTAAATTCAAATAAATATTTGTAACATTCATCCGAGTCTTATAATCAAAACAAATTCTGCCGCGTATTTCTGATTAACAAAAAACGACTGCCCACATTTTCATGAAGTTTTCTTCAGTGTTTGGGAATATCAAGGCTTACGCCAATTAGTTTTTTACTATAAATGACGAGGTCAAATTATATGCATTTTAGGTATAATTAAAATATGGATCGCGCCATACCAATAACTAATTCATAGATTAGTAGACCAAATTAGCTACTCATTTATAAAATAACAACTTTTGGGAATCTAATATAATATGTATCGAGATTTTCTGTAAATAAATTAAACGTATCGTAAACATTTAAATGTAGATTAATTGCAGTTTAGATAAAACTATGAAATAAATTAAGAAATATATTGAAATCGCTCGCATATTAAGGAATATAGGTATATATATGTATGTATGTGATTAACATTTTTTTGTATCGTATTTTTTACTGTTTCATTTGTTTTTAGCTACGGTAAATCATTCGACCTATGTTATTGGAATAAGATTAATTTGAATATTTTTTATTTAGGCTTACAAACATGCTAAATGACATTTTAAATTAAAGTGTATGTATGTAAGTTTATTTTACTCGTTTGTATCTATATATGTATATGATCAAGTATATTCCAACTTTGAGAACAGTCCTAGTCTCATTAAAATCGATTAAATATTTTTCGAGATATCACACAATTCAGGGTTGGTCACTTATATTACACATGTCCCTATAATATTATTATTAATATATGTTATGTATATATTAAATATAGATAACCTAGGTGAATAGTGATTATTATTTATTATTATGTTTATACGATGACAAGAGAACCGTGAGGAAATCCATATGCCCACAAATCTCTGGTGTCAGGCTTAGAAGGCTGATCACTTACTTCTTTAAGACAAGGAATATTATATACAGTCAAAACCGCTTATAACAGCACAACAGCGACATATCGCTTACAACGACGAAATTTTATCGATATTCATCGGCTATAACGACCAACCGCTTTTTGTCTCAGCAAAACAAAACAATACAAACGATTTTAAATCTTATTTATAATGCTTATGAATATTAGGCATATATTACCTACGCACTTTCTCCCGCCTCATCCGAACCTCTTCCCGGCCATTTGACCTTGCATACTTTACAGTTTACACATGTTTAGTTCGCTAATTGACTGCGTGAGTAACAGTTTGATTTAAAAGTTTTGTTTCTTTCTTGACCCCTTTACATATTATAATATTAACATACCATATTATAACCCATACCTACCTATTATAGATAGATAACTATGATAATATAACTATGTACATACATATGTACTGTACTTGTGTATATGACATTGCTTATAACGACTATCGGATATAACGTCGGCAACTATACGGTCCCTTCAATGTCGTTATAAACGGTTTTGACTGTACATACATTTAAGACCAAGACCAAAGCGCTAGCGCCAATAATTGTACCAAAAACGTTTATTTTCAAAAGACTTTTTCGTGTCTAAAAAATGCAACCTATTAAAGACTTATCAGTACTGATAATTTGACCATCAAAGTGGGTCAAATAGTGGGTCAAATCCATATAGCGACTTGGTACACTTTTAATCGCGATACCGTTCTTTGACCGACGTTATACGGCTTCCTGCAAGAAATAGGCATCGGGGACGGGGAATTTATGACGCTTCTTATGCAATTTTTTCTAATTTTCTATTTATGTAGGTTAAGAATATTGGTAATACTCTATTGTGTGTATAAATTGATTTTATTATATAAGCTATCGCGGAATATGCTTAAAAGGAGTATTAAGAATATCTATAGCGCTAAATCACCTGCATCACGAGAACACCACACATACACCCTCACGTACATAATCTCATTCACACCATGACACACAGCCGAATAAGGTATTACGTGTTTAATATTTTTTATTGAACTTTTCTTTTCGTAAATATTTGAACCCTTTTGTATATATTATTTATTTCATATTTGGCTATATCTTTAGTATAATGGTTTTTTGTTGTATATAATGTATGTTAGCTGTAGGAAAGGTTCATTCATATTTCTATCATCGTCATTTATCTGTGTGCCAATTTTTGTCAAAGGCCTCCAGCAAATTCCGCCATTTCTGTCTGCATTCTGCTCTCTCTGCCATGTAGGGCTGTTTCCTTAATCTGGTCTATCCACCTTCTGAATTGTCTTTTTATTGTTGCTTCACTTTTCTGTTTCTCTTGCCATGTGCCCCGCCATTTCCACTTCTTTTTAATGGTGTATTGTTTGTTTTATCTATTCTTTTCTTCTCTATCATACCTTTAGTCGGACGACGACCAGTACTTTTAATTCTTCAATAACAATATATTACACAATTGTAAATACAAAAAGGAAACTTACAAAAACAAATGAGGAATAACTTGCGAAAAAATTATGAACAATGCGCGTTATTTAAGTGGCCTTCGTGCTGGGAGCAATCAGTTTTTTTGTATGTGTTTATAAAATAAGAATATTCTACCACTATAGCTTGTCTATGGTTTACCTGAGTAGTAGTTTAAATAATGACGTTATTGGAAATAAAATATATATTATGGTTATTAAACATTTGGTTAAAATTTAATAAGTCTCTCGAAATTTAAGAATTAGTCATAAATAAGTATCAATCTCACTTAGAGATTCACGCGTGAAAAATGACTCTCACTTATACAGGTTTCATGTTTCTCACCTATAGAATTTTTGGGAGGGCAAAAAGACGGGACCCGGTAAATACTTTCGTTAATAGAGTTTTCTCGCTTACCCAGTTGTCACTCAGGTTTAACTGTAATTTTTTCTTAATAAGGTTGAAAAGAATGGCTTAATATTATAATATTCTACATAAAAAAGTAAAGAAAAAAAGAATATATGGTAAGTACTGACCATTTATACATTTAATAGCGGACCCGATAGACGTTTTCCCGCATGATATTTCAAGCGATTAGGATATTAAACAAAGTATGAGAGTACCGACTGTAGCGTGAACTGCCGGGCTAATTTGTGAATCTAAACCATCCAGGGTGCAACCCTAATGCATACAAAATATTCATTCAAACCGGTCAAACCGTTTAAGAGGAGTTCAGTGACATACACACGTACAGTAGAATTATATACCAGACAGATACATAGAAAAGTTAAAAGATCCGCGAAAGAATTGTTAAACATTTATAATCATGAGTTAGCTAGCTTT